TTGCTCCGAAGTAAATCACGGAAAACTGTTTATGAACTGGCACCTCGCCTTGGAAATGTAAAGCGAGAACTTTTTTTAAGTGCCGATATATATACATATATATTTTAAGGGGGGGTTAAAGAAGAAGGTGGAAAAAAAGAAGAAAAAGGAGAAGAGAGAGAAAGAGAGACACACATACAGAGAGGAATAATAATAACAACAGTCACAAACAACAACAGCAGCAATTTTAAAAAGCGGAATCCGATACCATGTTCATAGAAAAAGAGTTCTGACTCCATCCTCAGGATTTTTTAAAAAATCTATGCATATCCGTATATATTCCTGGAAATCACAAAGGCTCGTGGGTTGGCGTTTCTTCGTTATCTTCTAACATCCTGTGGCTTTTCATCTCCCCTAACCCTGGTACCTAGATCTTAAACCTATTTAAAATAAGTTATTTATATGACCATGAGCTCCTATTTTGTCAACTCCCTCTTCTCCAAGTACAAAACTGGGGACTCCCTGCGCCCCAACTTCTACGATTGTGGGTTCGCCCAGGAACTCGGAGGGAGACCGACGGTGGTGTACGGGCCGAGCACGGGGGGCACTTTCCAGCACCCCACCCAGATCCAGGACTTCTACCACGGGGCGTCCTCTCTCTCCAGCTCCCCTTACCAACAGAATCCCTGCGCTGTAGCCTGCCACGGAGATCCCAGCAACTTCTACGGCTATGACCCGTTGCAAAGACAAAGCCTCTTCAGCGCTCAGGAATCCGACCTGGTGCAGTATCCGGATTGCAAACTAGCCTCCACCGGCCTGGGAGAGGACGCGGACAATTCGGAGCAGAGCCCGTCTCCCACACAACTCTTCCCCTGGATGAGACCGCAAGGTGAGGAGACATCCCAGGAAGAGCCAGGCGTCCAGCCGCCGAGAAGGCATTTCCTGAACCCATAAAGCAATTTCGCCTTCCTTTTTTCCCCCACCTCTTCCACTATCTTTCATCCCCTCCCTCCTTCCCCCCTACCTCAACCCTTGGTTACTTTGTACTGTTTTATGAGGGTAAACTTTTGCACCTCTGAATTGCTTTATCGCTTAATTACCCTGAAAGGAACCTTTTCTCTTGAATGGAGAGAACTGGATTTCTCTCCCCTCCTTCTTTCAATCGGAGAAGCTTCCCCTAAAGTTTATGGTACTTTTACAACCTCCGAGACCCCCTTTTTGTGTCTCTCCTCGGCGTCCTCCGCCTCCTCCCTCCCTTCTCTCGCCGCTTTGGTTATTATCTTTTAAATCTCTGGAGATGCGAGGGGGGCAGGCGGCGGCGGCGGCTGTTTTAAGGGCTGGGGAGGGCTTTCTTGCCAGAAACCTGGGATGTCGGGAAGGGAATAATTTTCCTAAGAAAATGACAGAGATGGGAGGAAAGGAGAGAGCGAGGTGAGCTACCCAAGAACCCGGGTGAGGTTGGAGGAGAGAGCATCTGTGGACCTCTTCGTCTGCGCCTCTCTCCATCCATAGCTGTGTAATTAACCTCCCCTTTGTACCGTACAAGAAGGGCAGTTCCGCCGCTGCCTTTGTGTGTGTCTCTCTCTCTCTCTGTGTGTCCGTGTGTCCGTGTGTGTGTGTGAGTGTGAGCGCGCGCGCGCGCGCGCGCCTTTCGCGCTCTCTCCCCCTCTGTCCCCTAACCTGGCGGCTGTGTCTTCTCAACCTCCTTTTTTCTTTCCCCGCACCCCAGCAGCCGCTGGACGGAGGAGAGGCCGGCAAACCTACAGTCGCTACCAGACCCTGGAGCTGGAGAAAGAGTTCCTTTTTAATCCTTACCTGACCCGCAAGCGGAGAATTGAAGTCTCGCACGCCCTGGGACTGACCGAAAGGCAAGTGAAAATCTGGTTTCAAAACAGGAGGATGAAGTGGAAAAAGGAGAATAACAAAGATAAGTTCCCCAGCAGCAAATGTGAGCAAGAAGAATTGGAGAAACAGAAAATGGAAAGGGCTCAGGAGGTGGAAGAGGGCGGAGAAGCACAGACGGGGGACAAAAAGTAGGCGCTGGAAGACTGGACAGGCAAGCCTCAGAAAGCCGCTCCCTCCCTTCCATTAATTCCAGTTAATGTGAGCGGTGGTTTCGACGAGGGGAGGATAAATAGTGCTTGGGGAGGGGAACCTCGCCTTTTAGTGCTGTAAAACAATATAGCTGTGAGCGTCTTCTTCTTCTGGTTGTCCTTTGATACATACAATGAACTATATATTTAAAAAAAAAAAACCGAGACATCCTGGGGTCCTTTTAGCCTTGTTGTTTGTTATTTTTCATCTTCTGGCCAGTTAAGAATTAGTAATAGTGTAATGCAATAGCTTCTGTTAACCATGGCTGTGAAAAATTTCCCTCCCTCCCTCTCTCTTTTTTCTCCACCTTCCCTCCTTCTCTTCCCCTCTTCTTATTTGAGACCAGTGCTATGGAAATGATGTACAAAATATACACAGCATTGCACTTTTGAAGACTTTCTTCCTTACTCCTATTTTTCTTTTTTCTCATCCCTCCTCTGAAAAACACCTGTCTCTCTCTTTCTCTCTCCCTCCTCTCCCTCCCTCTCTCTGTCCCTCTCATTCCTTGTCTCTTTTTGCATTTTTCTCGTGTTGTGGTTAAACTTCCCTTCTGCAGGTAGCTCTGAAAATATACCCAACAACATGAAACTGCCTATTTATGCTGTAGTTGTCCTCATTTTTGACTGTCACAGACCCTCTTACCTTTTGGATTCCCATTTTGTTTTATTTATCTGTTCGTCTTTTTAAGTGTTTTTATCTTTTAAAAAAGAAAGAAAAAGGAAAACAAAATAAAAATAAAAACTGTGTTTCTCGTTTTCTCTCTTGCCTTTCCCATTTAGTTGGCATGCACACAGTGGAAGAAGTTGTAAAAAGTGTTTTTCCCTTCTGTTTTTTTTTTTTTTTTTGGTCCCCTCCCCCCTAGGTTTACTGTGAAAAAAAAAAAAGAGAATGTATACTGTATACGTGAATTACTTTATTGGGGGTGGGGAAACTAATGCTATATTTTGTTGTTCTCTCTTCACCTTGTTCTATTGTTGAAGCTGGAAACGGCAGAAGAAAGGAGTTAATAAAGTTTGCAAGCCACAATTTCCCTATGACATTGTTCTTTCTTCAGTCTACTTAACACTTCCTCCACCTAGAAGAGAAGGGTTGGGAAAATAAGCACACATCCATAACAGCTACTGCCATTCAGGAAAGCCTTCTAGGAGACACGGAAGAAACACATGGCTTTCAGGGGGGAAATGTACCTGAAATTTTGGTGGAGGTTTGGGAGAAAGGAAGGCAGGCAGAGAGAGAGAGAGAGAATGCAGATTTCTTTTCCTTTGAAAAGAAGTCTCAAGCTTATCCTGACTTCAGGTTAGGGGGCTGGCTAAATATTTTTAGTTTCAGAAAAGTTATGCTAATTATGTCTGCATGTGCCTTTATTTTGTCACTGCTGAATTCCAGCCTTGATGCTCCTAACAGGAGAGTTAGCCTCCCACCCCCCACTATAGTCTGAAAGCTTGTCACCTTTGGTACTCCCCACCTCTCCCATTAGGACCTTACATGCCCCTCCATATTCCTCCCCACTTTTGTGGGGGGAGGGGGCAAGTTAACCTTGAAAAGAGAACCTCCGCCAGTCTTCACAAGGCCAGTTTTATTCTTGTCACAGAGGATTTTGATAAGTTTCAGTGAAAAGTCCGCCTTTTAATCTCTCTTTTCTCTGTCTCTTCTCCCCCCCCCACGCCCCCAATTTTCTTTTCTTTTCTTGGAAGCGTTCCTTGCTTCCCCACCAAAAAAAAAAAAAAAGCAAAGTAACCAGCTGGTCACATTTTCCTTCTCCTTATAATTGAGTCCAGCAGAAGAGCTGACACGCTTAAATAGAGATCTGTTGTAATCTTTCCTTCGCGCCCCCCCCCCCCCCCCCCCGCTCCCCCTTCCGCCACCAGAAAAAAAGCAAAGCGAGCTCCGAGGCTCAACGCCTGTGGCAGTGGAATAAATTACATATAGAATTGAATGGCATTCAGAAAGGGAGCTACTGGAGCGGGGGAGGGACGGGGAGGTAGCAACTGAAATAGCAAGTAGCAAAGTGCTCGGATGGGCGATGTTGGTGCGGATCAGAGGCTGTATCTTCGCGGGGGGGTGGGGGATGGGGAGCAGCGGCAGATGCCAGCGGAATGTCGGCTTATAAAAAACCCGCCCCGAGACCGCGAGTTAGGGCGGGCATCTCTCTTCGCTTTCTGACTCTCTCAAGCCCGCGTTTTTTCTCTTGGGTACTAAGCAGGAGGGAGAACAGGGGTAGAAAGGAGAGAATTGCATCTGTATGTGTATATCCATTCGAGAGGAACTTCAAAGAGGCAGGGAACACAAAATCAAACTGACGGGTATAAATTTTCCTGGGTAATCCCTAAGGCTGCCTTTCTTGCTTGGATCGGCCAAGTGGGTCCGTTTCTCCACTTTATCTCACTTCTCACCCTTGGTTTCGCGGCAGTTCCCTTTTATTTCTTCTTCTCTTCTTGCCCTAGCTTGGCCCCGACTACCCACTGCAAATCTTTCTTATTTTCTTTGCCACGCCGCCTCCCTCCTGCATCTATCTCTCCCCCTGCTAGCTTCACTTGAGAACGGGTACAAACGGCGGGTGACGGACTCCGCGCGCGTTGTGATTTCCCTCCTTCCCGCTTCTAGCTCGGGAGATTCAGTATCTATCCAATCATCAATAATGCATCGTATTGTATAAATTCCGGCCACTGCTCCATACATAGTGTTTTTCTCCTTTTCCATATTACAGGGGGGGGGGGGGGGGGGGGGGGACAGTTTCGGTTGGGGGGGGGGGGGGGGGAGAGTTGGAGGAAGGTCGGAACGGATTGGTGCTATTCGGATCACGTGGATTAGAGTCACGTGGCCAAGGGAGGAAAAAGGGGGTCCTTTTTGGTGTAAATCTGGAGTCTAATTCCGTAATATATCACGGTACCTCGTAAAACCGACACTAAAACGTCCCGGCCTACAAATCACCCGGCCAGATTATGAGTTCATTGTATTATGCGAATGCTTTATTTTCTAAATATCAGGCCGCAAATTCGGTTTTCCCCTCCGGAGTATTTCCCGAGCAAACTTCTTGCGCATTCGCTTCCAATGCCCAGCGCACCGGCTATGGCTCCAGTTCCACGGCCTCTTTCGCTGCTTCCATGCCTGGTCTCTACCCTAGCGGGGGAGGTATGCACCCACAGCCCCCCGGCATGTATTCCAGCGGCTACGGTCTGGACACCAGCTCCTTCAACATGCACTGTTCCCCCTTTGAGCAAAACCTCTCCATGATGTGTCCGGGAGACGCGTCCAAACCCAACTGTAACAAAAGCGACCAGAGGGACACGGACTTGCGGCACGAAAACAACTTGCGAATATATCCTTGGATGCGAAGCACAGGTGAGATCCTTTGGGAGAATGGTGGAGGTGGCGGGAAAGCTTCGGGGAGAAACCAGGATCAGCGGCCGCGGGAGGGGGGAGGAAGAGGTAATATTGCGGGTGGGGGAGGAAAAGATGGTGCTGAACTCCTTTTATGACGTTTGCCTCCAAAGGAATCTTTCCCACCCCTCCTCCTTCTCTCGCCGTGATCCCCTGTAAAAGTAACCCTTAAACAAATGGTTAAATTTTTATTTCTTCTGTTGTTTCTGTTTCTGGCTTCCTGTATGTCGAAGACAGGGTGTCTTCGGAAAACCGTGCTGTACTATTAGAGGGAGGGTGGAAGAGAAGAAGAAAGAGACAGCCTATTAAAAAAAAGTCGGTCTTGTTTCACTTTCCTTCCGTTCCCTTCCTCCTACCCTTAGGGGTTGCAAACACATAAACTCAGAAGTTTCTCTCAGATTCTGCTCTAGAAATTGATTCTTGTTGATTGCATAGCCGTTCGATTTCACCTTAGAAATATTTTTAAAAAGACGGGGTGGGGTGGGTGGGAGGAACACACATACATACGCACACATCCTGGTGGGACTTGTTTTGTTTTCAAAAGGGCCATTTCATCATAAACCCCTTCCCCCTATGTCTATGCCCTTCCTCTCCTCTCCCTAGGATGTGCAATTGCAGATGCACTTCAGACTCACCAGATTCTGGAAATTGGAAAGAGGGTCAGATCATTCCCCCCACCCTTATCTAATTAAAATATGTGCGTGTGTCAGGTTTTGGAACAGGAATGGTACATAAGAGACTTGTGGAACCAAAGGACTCTGTAAGAGCAGAACAGATAGGTGTAACAAGCTCAACCAGTGTATTACACCTAATACCCTCTTTCCCAATTGTGTGTCGTCTGTATTAAGTACCAACAGTCTTATCTGCCTACTTTTCTCTGCCTTCTACCTGGTGTTGTACTGTTATTAGGGAAGGCAGTGTAAGTTAAACTCTAAGGCACCTTGCAAAACCCAGAGGGAAGAAAGGCCGCTTCCATCACTTGGCTTTCTAAGCTCAACTGTCCTTAACCCGTTATAGCACCATTATCACATTCAGTAATAGCTCTGTGCTCCTCTTGAGAGCCAGGTTTCTCTTCCATGCTTGGTGGGATTGGTGATTCCCTTTCTTACTCCCACAAATCAACTCCATTATACAATTACTGTTACAGGATCCCAGTAGAACAAGCACATTTATTAAAACCAACAGAGGCAGATTTCTAAGGAGCACAGAACACTTCAAGCTTGAAGTGGAAGGAAAATTATGTTCAAGTTACAATCCTATGCACTCATATCTGGGAAATAACTAGTATTTACCTCTGATTAATCATATGTAGGACCCAATATAAAAGGTGATGTGACTCTTAATATTGCCTTTTCACGCTTATGTTTCTTAAGAACTAACAGGTGGACGAAGGCATGAATCAACCATTGGAAGAAAACCCTCTCCCCAATAATTGAATGTAGGAAAATTGATTAGACTTTTGGTGGACCCAAATACTAAGGCTAGAGATAACAAGAACATTGCAAGCAGCCAATTTCCCACATTCTTCTACAACTAGACTGTTGGTGAAAGTGGTCATTTCAGTGTGAGAGGGAACAGTCTGAGGTTGTCCACAGATCAATAGGCAGAAAACTAAATTGATGTCTGTAGGAATAGGAAGGGCTCCCTCTTTGGCAATTCTTTCGCCCATGACTATTTTGAAATCTGCCGATTTTCTAGTGATATTCCAGTGCAGCTTTCCTCGCTTCAGTACCCCTTGGATGTGTTGACTACACCTAGCATCATAGTCAGCGACAATATAATCTGTAGTCCCAGGCTTGTGGAGGCACCTGACTGGGGAATGTCCTGGTAAAAGTTCAATTTTAAAGTATTATATGCCCCCGTGTAATGATTTGATATCTCTGGAGTGGAAAGTGGGGCTGAGACAAAAATTCAAGCTAGGTCTCTATCCAAAAGGAGACCAAAGGGGATGAGGTGAAAACAAAGGCTGTGTGTGTGTGTGTAATGAACACGAAGGCATAGTAGCTTCAGTAATTTCAGGGGCTAACCTAATAGATTCAACTTTTCTTTCTTATTAGGTAATCCTTAAACCACGGTTTGGTTTAGAGACTGCAAGTCAAAGCCCAGTTTTAGTGTTGTGGGGTGGGGTTGGAGAAGAGGTAATTCAAAATAACTTTCTTTTTCTCCTCCACTTTATAGTAACCGGCAATAAGCAGCAGCTTCTGATAGCAGGGAAAATTCTTCTTTATGCTTTGCTGTTGGAAGACAATATTGAAGGACGGAAGACAAGCAGGGCGCAAGGCAGGACCCCCCACCTTTATTGCTTCTTTCCCCATTTGGACAAATGCAATGAAAACTGGGGTTTATTTCTTCTGTCTCTTATCTCCCCCCCCCATCCCTTTCCCCCATCTCCTGCATTTCCTTGCGCCTTGCCTGGAATTGGGAGATTCCACCGCCAAAGCAAGACTGGCCATTACAGCCTTCCGTTCAGCAGTTTACAACTCACATTCCACAGACAGCTTATTTTCCCCCCTCTTTATATCCTGCTTTATTGCTCTTTTTACAGAGCCAAAGACCTACACAAGGACCTCTCCCCCCCCCTTTTTTTTTTTTTTGCTAAACAATAAGTTAAACAGTAAGTTAATCAACACATTTCAGAGAGGTAAAGTGGGGGTCTTTTAACTCTGGCAAGAACCACTGATAAAATCCATTTACTCAAAAGCCTTGTTAGTTGTATCAGGCCATCAAGAAATGACTGCAGAATTGATTTCTGGTTTGAATCCAGATTCTTTGGATGCCGGAGTAAAATAGTTGTGGTCAAAGACAGGACGCTTGCTTTGAGGAATTCCCATACCGACTAACTGAGCCCAGCAGCTTCCGAAATTCCGAATGAAAAAATCCAAATACCATTTTTCCCCCTCAGGGGAAGTGGTAGAATAAAATAAAACACAACCTAGAAAAGGAAGGAAGTAACGTTACCCTAACATTAACCTTCACTGACTTAAAGAAGTTTACCAGATGTGGAAATCTCTGCAGGGAAGGAGCTTCCTTGTAATTACATCTACCTCGATTCTTGTTGCATGATTTAACTCTTATCATACATCTTATGAAAAAATAAGTAGCAAGCTTTTTATAGAGCTTTTTATCCATGCTTGCATTTCTCAACAAGAATTTTTATTGATCTTTATTGGTAGTGATAGTAATCTTGACATTTAAAAAAATAATGCATTGAATCTCCCTGAACAAAATTTGCATCACCATTAAATTGTCCCAGATTAATTCAATCCTTGTCTTAAACTCAACCTGATATGCCTCCAAATAAGAATCAGTAAGTATCATTAAGTTGTGCACCTAATAAGTACAACGTTTATTTGAAATTATAGAACTGAATAGTACATTAATGCCTAAAGAAGCTGAAAGATTCATTCAAAGTATGCAATATCATATACTTTTCTTTTAATTTGTTTTAATGGTGCCAAAATACAAAATACATACAGATTTTATATAAGGAAAAATATGTTATTAAAACTAGATAGTTTTAAATCTATGTATATTGTGAATATGCCTGCTTGTAAAACACACATAGATGCACATAAAGAAGTGAAAAACCAAAATAAGCTTGTAAAATTCTGTTTTATTATTTTGCAGGAACTGACAGAAAGAGAGGCCGCCAGACTTATACCAGGTACCAGACCCTGGAACTGGAGAAGGAATTCCATTACAACCGTTACTTGACCAGAAGGCGACGCATTGAGATAGCCCATGCTTTATGTCTTACAGAAAGACAGATCAAAATCTGGTTCCAGAACAGACGAATGAAGTGGAAAAAAGAAAACAAACCTGCAGGGCCAGGCTCAAATAGCCAGGAAAAACCAGAGGCTGAAGAAGATGAAGAAGAATGAAAGAAAAAGAAAGGATGAAAGTAGAAATGGAAAAGAGAATGGAACTGAATGGAAAGGGAGGGAAAAGAAAAAGGAAAAGAAAGTAATCTGACCGCACTGTTACACAAATTTAGAGGAAAATGTAAAAATTAACATAACAGACTGTACATTGAAACAAGAAACAAACATCTAAGCAAACTGAAAGGATTCTTTCTTCTGCTTCTTGACACTTGGGAAACTACCTATATTAACATTTCTCTCTTATTTTGTTTTTGTACAACAAAAAAAAGAAATCTACCTATTAAATGTCTCTTTAGAATCAAATCTAGGTAACTGTTTTGTTTTTATGTGGGTATACATATAGTCTAAGTATTTGTAAATTTTCTTGTTTAAAATTTCTCTTTTTGATCCTCTTGTAATTTGAAAGAAATGGTTTATGAAGTAAAAAATGTGGACGTGGTTAGCACTTTTCCTTAGAAAACCCGTGAACTCCAAATGTATGAAGGGAACACAAAACTTAGCAGAAGACGATTGTTGTACATAATTCTGTAAGATTCCTGTCTTCCTCTACGTCTGATTACTGGTGCTGTTTTTTGTTTTGTTTTTTCTTGCTTATTTTATTTTATTTTGTTTTTGTTGATGTATATTTTTACATGTTTGCAATGGACCACTTCATTTTTACTGTCACTAGAGAATCTGAAATTAATATTGTGCTGAGTAAAACCAATGTATATGATAGATAGCAAATTCTTTAATAGTTTACCAACCTTTTTGATTTGTATTCTGTGATTACTATGCGTAGAAAAGGGGAAAATAATTAAAAATAACATTATGAATATTGTGTCCAATAATGACTGTATTTTTTATTTAGTCGTCAAATTTATATGGTGTTCATCTCACAGTGCGAAGTGATATTGAACTGCTTTACATGGATGAGAGGTACCATTTATTTGGTGTGAACAGGGAAGCTTTCCTGTGTCCTCCAACTGGTGCCTAGGCTTTGAGAGTAGATTTCAAATATTCCTTCCCAATTCCTACTCCTATTTTCTTCCATGTATTTGTTATGCATATTTAAAAATTCCTTTGAATACCTTTGCAAAAATCCAGCATTCACTTCAGTTGATTACACCTTGTTAAAATCACAAGTTATTTTATTCTAACTGCATATCTGCATATGAGCTTACTAATGTTGGTAGTTTGGCCACTTTGGGAACAGAATGGAGGGTTAAAGTTTGTGATGTTCTGCTTAAGGGTTCACTACAAGAGAGCCTTGGTTAAGAAAAGAAGAGAAACTGTCATGCATGTGATTCCCTTTTTCTCAACCAGCTTCTTCAAAAGACAAAACAGCAAATAAGATACGCTGGATTCTACTAATAATAACACCAACAAAATGAAATTCCAGATATGCACATTCAGTTCCCTTAGATTTATTTCAATTTATATATTTATCCTTTCAGCGTTTTTTAGGGAGACATCTGTGGCAAGAAAAAATTAACAAAAAATAATACAAATGAGAGTGATTTAACTCAGAAAGGCAACATAATATTTATAACAAAATTCAGAAACATTCAACACATCATTTCAATTTAGTTTTTCAGTTTTGTGCTTTCACATCCTGGAGCACTAATTGCAGAACTAGAAGGGGAGTGATAATTTTAAATACTTAGTATTTTATTTTTTATGATTGAAAAATACAGAGTTGCTTTAGTTTTCATTGGTAAGGTGCTAAATGGTCAAAATGTAAAGATAATAGGAAAAATTAAGGTAAAGCTTCATTCATCTCTTAATTAACTTAAAGTAAAAATAAAATGATGAAATAGATATTTTTTACTCACTCACACTTTCTGTAACATTATTTTGATGTTTAAAATTCTTCTCTCCAGTATTTTTCAATTATATTTGGCTTCAACTATACACTAATATTTCTGAGAAAGAAATTTTTAAAAAGATTGTTTATAGATTATGAAAAGAAATAATCTTTAGATAAGATCTTATAATATAGCATACAGTTACACTAATCCTCACCCATACCACTCAGAAGAGATATGTATTCTTGGGTGTGAATATGTGCGTGTAATAGAATGTTAGGTGAAATAGATATGCACATATAAAATTATCAAAATAAAATATTACAAAATAATTGCTTTGCTCTGTTAATTGAAGGTTGCATGAGAAAAAAATGTCAGTTGTACCTGTCTGAATATATCCAGCGAAATAAGGAGAAGGAATACTATGTTTAATTTCTTCTTTGAAATGGGTTGGATCTGAAAGACCAAATAAGCAGAAATGTATGTTCCTTTCTCAAACAAAATAAGTAATTTCAGTGGATACCTTCTAAGGGTGGAAACAGAATTCCTGAACTGTCCTATCACTCACCTTATGAGATTTTGCTGCATTGGACCACTACTATTGTGTTCGTGGCATGTACCACTGCAGTAGTGTGTACGCCTTCAAAAACCTTAGTGCGCCTGTGCGGGTATACGCCCTGTCTTTCTTTCTTTCTTTCTTTCTTTCTTTCTTTCTTTCTTTCTTCTTTCTTTTTTCTTCTTTCTTTTAGTCCCTCCTTGTATGTCTGTGTGTACACGCACACAAACACACACACACATAGATATGTAAGTACGCATGTTCTACATGCATACATATACAAATGCATACATATAATAACATCTATATGCCTGACTCCGTTAAATACGTTTCTTAGGACTCGATTATATACTTGCTTCTTCCCCCCATGTCTTGAAACTGGGACATCTAATGCTTTAATTTCATAGCGAATTTCCGGAAAGAATATTCCTCCCCATCCAAGTCCGATTAAACTACGGAGAGCCACTTTTGCTTTAAAAGAAACAAAATATAATTTCAGAACAAGTGCTTCTATGCCTCTCTCCCTCCTTCCACCCCATTTGCAGACTATTACAGGTATGGAGACAGTGGTGGATCCCTATAGAGAAAGAAGGGTCGAAAGCTTGGGAGGGCTTGTGCAGAGAGGTGGCTTCGCAGAGGAGGTTCTTTTAACCTTTAATGAAGGAGGGGTCGTTTAAGCCCCCCTGCCGAGATGTGGAGCCCCCCCCAATCTTCATATATTCTTCTCTCTTCAAGTCTCCCTCTTTTTTTAAAAAAAGAAAAGATGGCGGCTGAGAAAAAGACTGCTGTTAAAGCAGTCATGAAGAAATGCAATAAATTCCTTGTTGTTTTATGAAAATTTACAACTTTGTGATAGAACTTTATGAGTGGCTGGGTTCTGCGATTGGCCAGAGCTGGTCATGTGGACTGCTAACCGTGAACATGAACTTTTTATGATTTCCCATGTGGTTATTCTACCATTCTTTTGGCCGCTGTACCTTGGGTCGGATCACTGTCCTCTGTAGGACTGTCGTCTCTTTTAACATTTTTTTTTTTACTTTCATGTATAAGCTCAATAGGGCTAAAAATAGAGGAGTAGGGGAAGCGCCGGCACAAGCGCGCGCGCACACACACACACACATACACACACACAGAGTTTCTTTTTCATGCACACATACAAACACTCGCATAGATGCACGCAGATATCTGGGACTAAGCTTAAATAGCTAATATTATTGATCCCCACCTATTCTTCCTTTTCCAATTCTCTCTGTACTGACTCGGGTTCTCTCTCTAATGATGGAGGGGGAAATGGAGAATCGGTACCGGCTGGAGGCTTTGGTCATTTTTCAAAGAGGGAAGTTACTCCATTTTCTGTACAAAAGGACGCGGCAAAGGAAAAAGCTATCAGAAGTCGCAATGGACGGCTATCAGGTTGGGACAATATTTGTCAGCTTCCATATAAAAGCAAACGCAATTCAATCTCCCCCCCCCCTCTTCCTCCTCCTTCGCCTCCTCCTCTTCATCCTCCTCCTCCCAATCCAGAGAAGGATGGGCGTCAAAAGGTAAGCTCATACTTTTCTAAAATTGAAGCTGATATTATTTGAAGGAGGCAAAGAACCGAACACATTTTTTTCTTTTTTTTATATGAAAAAATATAAAAATATGAGGTGGTAAAAAGCTATTGTTAAATGTATCATTGTGTAAAAAAAGAAAGGAAGGAAAGGAAGGAAGGAAGGAGGGAGGGAGGGAGGGAGGGGGGAGGGCTCAAGATGTCCATGTCACCTAGAGGATTCGAGCTACCTCAATTGTGTGTGTGTGTGTGTGTATATATATATATATATACACATATACATATATATATATATACACACACACACACATACCAACATATATTTAACAGGGGGATACAACCCCTTCTGTAGGCTTCTTTTCATTCTTTCTTTTACCCTTCAAATCTCTTCCCCATCCCAGGAAGAACGATTTATGGAGACTTACTTGTCAGCGAGAGAATCCACTCATTTTAAGAAGTTCTGTACAGCAGCCAGTTCGATTTAGATCCTTTTCTCCAGGGTGTTCTGTGTGGACGTAGGTGATTTTTCTTCTAAAGAACTGTTCCAATGTAAGGCTGGGAGGGTGAGAAGAAACAGAACACAGAGAATGGTTACAACAGTTAATAAATGCAATTGAGGGAAAATTTCAACTGCACTAGGTCTTAAACTAAAGACGTGAAAGACCCCAAAATTGTAATATAAGGGAGGTAACAGACTATAATCCACTGCCTACATTTGGGCGTTAACAGAAAGTGCATGTGCATGTATGTGTGTTGTAAGATACAACCCTACTGTATAGAGATAATATTTGTACATGTCGTTCCATCAGCATTTTGATTTTTTTTCCTTTTGTTGCTCTATTAATAATATTTTTGAATGGATTCTAATTGATATGCTTCTTTTTAAAAGAGGGAGGGATCTTCCCAGAATAATTTAAAATGTTTTTTTTGGCTGGAGTGTTCAATTAATCATTTGCCAGTAAAGTGTTCTAGTATCTCTACTTGAAAAATAATTACTATTACCTGGAACCAAATACTGCTTGTACAGTTTGAAATGTATTCAACTGCTAGTTAAACATTTTAAAAACAACAATGCTATAACTTCCTCGCCTTCGAAGTTTCTTTA